TTTTTTTTTTAGTTAATGAAACTAAAGCATTATGTACAATTATGTATAAAAGAGCCTTGATAGTTTCGTAAAAGAGACATAATATATTTTTTTACATACATATTAAAAATGACATGAATATTTTATCTTATATTTTATCTATAGCATATATCGTAATACAAAGTTCAAAGGATGTATTTTACTATGTTTTATTCATTTAAAGATCTTCTCAAAACCATTTTAATGTTAGGTGTATCATAGTTTATTGACGAAAAAAAAAATTTATATAGAGTGTCCCAAGATCTCTAGTCAAAATATTATATATTCTATGGATATAAATGAGAAAATGATATTATATAACATTTATGTTTATATAACATTTTTTCTAGGATTATATCGATAGAACACACAATAAACTTTGATTGGAAAAATTTGAAGCACTCTAAGCAACTAACATTATCTTATTTTGCATGAATGTCTATTATTGTTGCGCTCTAAAGGGGTGTTGCGAAATTCTTTTATTAATTTGCAAAAAATTTATATTTTATAAATGAATTTTAGAATAATCATTTCACATTTAATTCTGTTGCAGTTAATATATTCAAATTTCACTTCTCTTTTCAAGAGAATGTTTAAAATACTTTATAAATCTATAAAGTATGATGACTTTTAAAGACATATCAAATGATGTTATTTATTTGTGATACATATCTAAACAAAAAATTTAATTGATAATTTCATTTTTCGATATACAGATAATTTAAAGTCTCTTTCTCTAATGACATTGATATTGGAAAAAGTTTATAAAAAGATTATTTTTAGCTTCTTAGCTACTGCATCTTCTTGAGAAGCAATCTCATAAGAATCTTTATCAAATCGGAGAAAGACGATAAAACAAACACGAAGAACGGTAGAAAGGAAAGCTATTTAAAGGACCATGGATTTTCCTAAACTTTACTACGTATTAATGTTAACTAATACTCCTCAAGGAAATTGATTGATGACATAATTTAAATTGTTATTTATCTTCGTTTCCTGTGTTGCCATATTTTTTTAGTTCATAACTTAATTTATATTTCCAATTGTGAATTAGATTAATATTCTAAAAATAACTATAGTGCACATAATAATAATTTCAACACACCCTTATCAGCACTATTGAATCACGTAGCTGATATCTTCTTAAGTGCGTATAAAATAAAACGCAAAATAAAATATCATTTTATTGATATGAAACGAAGTAGTAGGTAATACGTTAAAATGTAATGTGTTGTGCGTTGTTGTATATTTTAATGAAAATTTTACGAGGATTGTTGTATGTTAGAAGTTAAGAAGAGTCTATAAATAAATATTTTAGATATCTCAATTTTGTGTCGTTAGATTCCGATAGTTCATTATTACTGTATCATAGAACTAAAATTACCTTGAACAGTGTAACATAAAACGTAACAAATATATGACTATTACTTGTTAATTGAATAACATTTGTTTAGAATTATATTCGCCCTCTTTCCAAAGCCTTTAATACTGACTATATATTAGTAATGTCATACATTTTTTCCTAATATTAAATGTTATTGAACACCTGTTTGAATCGTTTCAGTAATCATAGGTAGATACAATATCTCACGTATTTGAATTTCTATTGAGCATGTTTAAGGGTGTAAAATAACATGCTGTATACAAGAGTAATGTACACCATAATTTCGAAGGTACGCAAACGATTTATTAGTTTTTAATTGTATTTGCTTCATATTTAGGAACAACGACGTTAATGCAACAATACTGCAACTACCTTCACCAAGATGTCGTCTGTGAAGATTATTTGGAAGACACGAAAAAGAAGACGTTATCTCCGTTTAACCGTTTGCGGTCGGATTTAACTGAAATATGGATATCATGCTGGTCAGAATTGATTTTTATTAATCAAACACTAATAATAATATAATCGAAGAAAATGACCAGAGAATCAAAATGAAATTGACTATCGCTACTTTTTTTTATTTGTATGTATTTCGCCAACGTATTATATTTTATAGTATTAATATAACAAAGCCTTATCAAACATCGCAATATGAATAATTGATGAATGAGAGTTAATGTACGACCGCAAACGACTAAAAATCAACTTTTTAAATATCATAGATTTTTATATAAATGTGGGATATATTTACTGTAATAATAGTCGTAATGATTTTATGCAACCCGACAGTAAAACTTATACATGTCTGTTAATGTCTCGATAAGAAAGGGATTGGTTTTGCTAATGGGTGATCTTTTTCTTTTTTTTATTATCATCTTGCAAAATGCTACAAAATATTTATTTCTATATATTTTTGAATGTAATGTCACTCTATAAAAATATTTTTATTTTTTTTACTTAATCTTGATGTTACGCTCGGCAGCAATTTTATTAAAATTTCTCGCCTCCTTCTAAAATTGAAAATTGAGAAAATTGCTTTGTAACATTAAAAAAACCTTCGAGATATATACTAAGTATTATTATTAAGCTGCCGCTAATTTTAACATTTATTCTGGCTACGGTTTGCTGTTGCGTTTACATTGGCCTTGGTCCAAAACAGTGAATGCCAATCGTTAGAAAATAATCTGCGATCGTTACTAAGGTCAATGAAGGCTGAAGTTAGTTTGTAAGTTAATCGGTCAGTCAGTCAGTCAGCCGTAACATCAGCAGTTCGAAAATAAGCAAATTTGTGATACTTCAACGTGCATAGAGTATTCCATACCCTCGTGAAACTATAAATTTTAAGCCAGTTGTACATTGAAAACTACAAAATGGCTACAGAAGGAATAAAGAGGGTATGCATTGTAGGGAGTGGCAATTGGTATGTGTATGGATTAATTTTTCCTATTTTCTTTTTTTATATAATTTTGTACCGAAGTATTTTTAAAGCATAATGTAATGTCAATTTTAACAAATTGTATTGTATCTTTAATTATTGTTTTTTATCTTTATTTTTTACTTTTATTGTATTCAATTTTTTTTTTCTTTTTTTTTTACTTTATATCAATACTTACATCGTTTGTATACAATTTCAAAGCTCGATGATGTTATTAAATATATATAGAAATAAATGACAGTTTTACCATTTATTTTATGTAAAACTATTACGAGATAATTAGACGTCATAATGATTATCTTATGTAATTCTTTTTATTTTATACCTCAGGGGCTCAGCTATTGCAAAAATTGTGGGTGCCAATGCAGTCAAATTTAACAACAAATTTGAAACACGCGTAACAATGTATGTTTACGAAGAAATAGTGAATAATCAAAAGTTGACTGATATCATAAATCAGTTACATGAGAACGTGAAATATCTTCCTGGGCACAAATTGCCAGAAAATATTGTAAGTTTTACACCTCATTCAAAAGATAGTATGTTCTCTTCTAATTGCATCGATATTGTTATTATTATTCTTTTCTAAAGACTTTCGAATCATTCCTATCATTTTTATGTTAAACGTATGTTTTTATTTAATTTTTCATTAAATGATCTCAATAGAAAAGTTCAATGAAATAGAACGAGGGAAAAATTATTTACTGTATAATTATGAACATTCGCATTAAATAATTATTATAAAAAGTACATTAATATCTTTAGTAACAAGAATAATGTATTATACTTTCTAATATGTATTTAGATGATATAAAAAGTGATGGCTCATTTTAATCGCTAAAATGTTAGGTGGCAAAAAGATATACAAGTAACAAAATTCGTAATTCGTATAAAATTGTTCTCCCGTGGTTTATATTGTGATAATAAAAATTCCAGTCCAAAGTGCATTACACTGTCAAAAATTATCTCTTTATTTGAACAATTTTTTTTTTTTGTTTGCAAAAGTGCAAAATATAAAATAATACATCTTACTCATTAATGAATACATTCAATAATTTGTGGTTGTGCGGACGTAAACCTTTCCAGAAGGCATTGATACTTTGTCCACTCCCTTGGGGAAGAGTTTAGGGAGTTCTTCGTCTTTCACAGTCGGAAGAATCATAACTTTTTCACCAGGCTGTAAATACACAGTGAAATATATTTTTATATAGTCGCAACGAAGTATATTCTAGGTAAATTATTAGTTACTATCCGCTGTCTGGTATATCAGACTGTCTTGAAATTTAGAAAGCACAAGTAACAATATATTAATTAATATTGCTCTTACCACCCAGTTAGCAGGGGTTGCTATTTGCGGTTTCTTATCGACAAGTTGCATGGAATCTATAACTCTCAGTATCTCGCTAGAAATCACACAAGTATCATTAATACGTTTATTCCATGCAAAGTTATATTATTCGTATAATATAGATTGTGTAATTCTACATTGTACATCGAACTTACTCTACATTGCGTCCAGTGGACATTGGATAATGCATGGATAAACGTAAACGATGATCGGGGCTTATAACGTACAAAGCGCGAACAGTTAACGCTTGTTCTGGATCATCTTTGCCATCTTCATCGATCATGTCTAACTTCACTGCCAAAGAACGATCCGGATCGGCAATAATTGGATAAGGGAAAGCGCCAGGAATGTCTCGGCAATAAGATTTAATATCCTGCGAGTGAGCGAAATTTTTCACGATGCTTCGATTTTTAAATTGAATACAATTTTATAAGATTTCATACAGTTTCGTAAAATTTCGTTCCTATTTATTTGAAAGTGTGTATTGCTGTGAATTTCTCACGATGCTTCGA